GGGAAGTTGCTGACTCTTCACATTTCTGGGCTGTGGCCCAAGCTGGATTAACCCTTTGTGGGCCCCTTCCAAGCCACGGCACCACTGGAGCCATTGTAAACCCAGTACTGTTTAGGATACAGTTCTACTGAAAATTTGTCTTTTAATAAGTCAGACATATGCTGAAATGGCTCCTCACCCAACTCCCATATTCCATATAAACAGACTGAATACTACATATCTGGGGGGGAGAGTGAGTAGTTAAGCATGTTGATGTTTGTATATACAAACACCCATTTCATCACTGTACTGGAAAATATAGCTGAACTTAATTTTCTATGGAATTAGAAGGAAGTTTAACAGCCCCAATTGTTTTCTGTGTTAATCAGTCTGTACCTGAAAAAATTACATGCCTTCTAAGAAAAAAGAATCAGTCCACACTTACTGAAAAAAAAATTTCTTCCAACTAGTGTTCAGAAGAGTGCTACAAGACACATACATAACCTTATGAGCAGAGGGTGGAGAGTTCCACTCCTCCCACATTATGACCAGCAAAATAATAATAATAATTAATAATAGAATCTCAAAGAGGCAGAGGTACACAGATTTGCAAACCTGAAAACTTGTGTTGTGCTTTAAACCACCTCAGCACATACCATGTTTATGACCCTTAAAAGGAACAGTGAAGCCCATTAACATGAATGTGTGCCAGTCAGTATGCCCTCACTGACTAAAGGTGCAGTCACACTTGAACAGCTAAAAATTAACCTTGCCCCTTTAGGCTAAACAGAGTCATGTCACTGACTCCATCTCTGTTCTTACATAACAGGTAACAAAACTCCAGTGGGGCATAGTGCTGGTACACAGGGTCTCAGGTACATGGTGTGATTTTTCAGAATCTTTTCTGGGAACAGTCATGTAGGTGAAATAGCTGGTACTTATGATTATGCTATTTCTATGCATGTATATTCATCTTGGTATATGAAGTTATGAATATTAGCTATGTTTACTACATGTTTTCTTGCTCTTGTGGTAATGCTCACAAGGTATTTAGCCAGCACATAGAGGAACAAGTCAAGTTGAATGGCCCATTAAGGAACACTTAGCTCACAATGGACCCTGGAAGACACTGTCTACACTTAATGGACTTTTTGTGAATGTTCTAACTAGAATATGGGTGGGGGTGATGGACATGTAACTTGCCCATGTGACTCCAAACACCATCTTTCACAGTGAGAACAGATTTCCCTTTCCTTGGCACTTGGCAGAAGCTAAAAGGCCCTGGCCTGGAAACATCTCCATTTTGCCTCTTTCCTGCTCTGGTCTCTTTCCTGCTCCAGCCTCTGGACTGTGAACATATTCTAATGGGAGCATTCTAACCAAGGGACTGTGGACTTGAAGGTAATCTGGAGCCTTCATATTTCCTTGATCCTTTGCAGATGGACTTATGAGTTGGTTATGGTACAGAGACTGTTCTAGCCTCATTGATTGCTGATTTCTCCCTTGCAATGGACAAAGATCAGATATCTGCTGACTTTCTCACAAGAGTCAACAGCTTTTGATACCTGTAGTATAAGCAACATAGCCCTTGCTTGAGTGGTTTTGTTCTTTCCTCTCCAAATGTCAAAGCCTGTTCCCATTGAACTCAATAGCAAAACTCCTTTTGATGTCAATGGAAACAGGATTTGACCCCAAGAGATCAGACAATGTGATTTTGATCAGTTGCTTATCTGTCTAGAGACAGTTCTCATGCATGTTCTGCCAGGCTGATTTTGATTGCCCCTCCTGTATGTCATGCTGAGGAAAATAATAAAATCATTTGGGCTGTAGTTCTATCAAGATGTACATGGCACAGACAGTTTGATGCCTCTTTTCCATCAAACCCAGATGGCACAGCATCTTGCCTTTCCTAGTGCCTGGCGGAGAGCAATACTTAGATAAAGGCAAGCTGCAGAAGCTTAGTTTGGACATAAGGGAGGCACTGATAGTGTGTTACGGGAAATGGGGTGATTGTTCTTCCTATCCTTCTTTCATTTAAGAAGTTTTCAATTTGGGGTGCTGCTGGATCCTCAGTGATACCTAGAAGTACAGTTGGCACCAGGGGCCCAAAGCATTATTTTTACAATTGCATCTGTTCAACAGATGCAGTTGTAAAATTTGAGACAGGTAAGGGGGGTGTTGGAGGGGATGGGGAGAACATGGAGGCCCCATGCTGGGGAGGAGTCACATGGGTAGGTCACGTGCCCTCCCTTGTGTCCCTCCTATGAGTGCAGTACTGGTAAGAAATTATTTCTACTTGCACCATTGTTTTCAGGTCATTAGAGTGTTCCTGATGGAGCCATATTGGCCTCTTCCTATCTTTCCTTTGCATCAGGATAGTTTGCAGTTGTGCATTTATTGAATTCAGTGGGGTTCTGCATGGATACGGGACACCACCCTCATGCAGTTCCCCTCTCATTATTGAACTTTCTTCCCACTTTATCAGTCACAGGGACCTTTAAATATTTGGTCAAACAACATTCCTCTTTCTAGAACAATTCTGATTGGAAGATATTGTGCTCAAGTGAGTTTAATCCTCTCAGAATCTTTCCATCTCCCAGAACTGGGGAGTTGTCCAATTTTCAAACAGGGTATTTAAATAGAAATCGAACATTTTGTTTGCAAATACAGTGAAAATGCCACTATACAACCATGTTACGTAGACTCTCCCTGCTTCTTATGCTAGTCCTGAAGGGACCGTCTGCAGATGAAGGTAAGTGCTAGTTAGAGATTATTCTTTACTTTTATTTCCCCACTCCCCATTATCTGATCATTTTATTGAGAAGGATTCCTATTAGCAGGCCAAGTCCACCACTGCCAAAAGCAGCTACAGAACCAGCGTGTTGACCCACTTACATTAGCCGTGATTCTGCCACTGAGCACTCTTACATGCCAACTGTTTTCTCCGTTGATCGTTGACAGATTTGATCGTAATCCTACAAGATACTATTAGTTTCCAAATGCAGACAATGGGACACACCCTCCAGGGACGCCATTTAGGGGGGCAGGAGGGGCTTTAGCCCTCCCCCCCCGCCCAAGTTTCTTACCTGAGGTCTGCTCACAGTGCACCTCCAGCCCCAGACAGAGCTCTTATCTGCAACACAACTTGAGTGTGATATGTGATGAGTTCTGTGCTGCTCCCAGCTTCTGCCTTTGGGGCAGGCAGTTTGTTTATAAACAGAGGAAAAGTGATTAAGATAACAAAAAGCTTGCCATTAAATTAAATTAAGGATTATTAAATGATCCTGAAAGCATTGCCAGGCACTCCAGTTAAAAGATAGGAAACAAAGGGTAGGAATAAATGGTGAGAATGGAGAGAAGTAAACAGTGGTGTCCCTCAGGTGTCTTTATTGGGACCAGAGCTGTTCAACATATTCATAAATGAGCTGGAGAAAGGGGTAAACAGTGAGGTGGCAAAATTTGCAGATGATACAAAATTACTCAAAACAGTTAAATCCAAAGCTGACTGCAAAGAGTTACAAAGGGATCTCACAAAACTGGGTCACTGGGCAGCAGAGTGGCAGATGAAATTCAATGTTGATAAATGCAAAGTAATGCACATGGCAAAATATAGTCCCAACTATACATACAAAACGATGGGGGTCTAAATTAGCTTTTACCACTCACGAAAGAGATCTTGGAGTCATTGTGGATAGTTCTCTGAAAGCATCTGCTCAATGTGCAGCAGCAATCAATAAAGCTAACAGAATATTGGGAATCATTAGGAAAGGGATAGCTAATAAGACAGAAAATATCATATTGCCTCTATATAAATCCATGCTATGCTCACATATTGAATATTGCTGCAGATTTGGTCACCCCATCTCAAAAAAGATATATTGGATTTGGAAAAGGTACAGAGAAGGGCAACAGAAATGACTGAGGTATGGAACAGCTTCCATATGAAGAGAGATTAATAAAACTGGGACTTTTCATGTTGGAAAAGAGATGATTAAGGGGGGGATATGATAGAGATCTATAAAATCACAAATGGTGTAGAAAAATTTAATAAGGAAGTGTTATTTACTCCTTCACATAACACAAGAACTAGGGGTCACCCAATTAAATGAATAGGCAGCAGATTTAAAACAAACATAAGAAAGTATTTCTTCACAGTCAACCTGTGGAATTCTGTGCCAGAGGATGTTGTGAAGGCCAAGACTATAACCGGGTTCCAGTAAGACCTAGATAAGTTCATGGAGGACAGGTCCATCAATGGCTATTAGCCAGGGTGGGCAGAGATCCAACATCATGTTCTGAATGTTCCAAGCCTCTCTTTGCCAGAAGCTGGGAGTGGGCGATGGAATGAATCATATGATGATTGCCCTGTTCTGTTCATTCCCTCTGAAGCACCTGGTATCGGCCACTGTGGGAAGACAGGATACTGGGCTAGATGGACTATTGGTCTTATCCAGTATGGCCATTTTAATCTTCGTATATGGAACCCAGATGTATCTGCTCCCTGCTGTAGACCCCACTCCCCTCCCAGAGCTGAGATAGAACCCAAGAGTCCTGATGGTGTCTCTCTGTAGAGTTAGTAACAAAGTAAGAATATACATTAAAATTTTAAACCTAACCGGAATCCCTTAAGTGACTTGCCACAAGATGTCAAAACATGTTAGTATTAGAGTTGAATGGGTCTAATATTTATTTAATTTTCTTTCTTTTATATGGGAATTAGATATAGTAGTCCTGTCAGCTAATTGCTAAGTTATCTGCCTAAAAAACAGAGTTTTCAAATGCCTAAGTAGCCCCTGGAACCAAGGTTAAAGTTGCCCCCACAAACACACACCAAAATCTGAAATAGTGCCGCTGGCACCCTCCCCTACCAGCAAGACCTTCTCCTATCTAAAATTTATCTGGGAAAATGCTCCCAGAAGAAACCCTTCCCAGGTCCTCTCTGCCAGTGCAAATGGGGTTTATCATTTGAAAGTTTAAGTTCGCCTGCAGTAAAACAGGGTATTCCTGATTATTTCCTGCAGTTTCTAATGTGGCACTTGAAGGTGTAGCATCCCAGTCCAGCACCTTTAACGAATATGGAAACCCTGGCAATGCCATTGATGGGTCTCCATCCAGTGATTACCTGAGTGTAAAATGCCCCAGTGGAATGCACTGGCTTGTGTTCAGATACATGGCTGCCTTTTGCTGGAGAGACTCAGATCTACATGGATGTGTGTATACGCACCACTGCTTTCTGATCTGTAGAATAAGACATACGCAAGTGTGTGATGTATTGGATACACACCAGCAATGTTAAATGTATGTCACTGAAGAGAAGAGACTTCTGGGGAAAAGCCTTATCTGCTGCAAAGAGTTTTTGGGAGTGAAGTCTCCAATCTGACTGTGCCCGCCGAGATGGTAAACAAAGCTTGTGAGATGCCTGGAACTGTATAAATAACTGGTATGAATATTGTCCTACATTTTTAAAGAACAGTTTGTCTCTCTTTTTTTCTCTGTTTCCTTCCATATTTTTCCTTGCCTTTCTTTCTTTTTTGTGCCTTACTCTTGGTTTCTAGTTTTGGTTTCTACTTTGGGAGATTTTTGTTTGTTTGTTTAATTTTCGTATACCCCTCTGCCCTCTCTACATCCCCTAAAAGGGACAGTCAATTTGATTTTTGTTAACGTACTCCTTTTCAGTACTCCAGTTTCTGAGACAACCCTTTCTGACTTGATTTTTTTCTGCTTCCCTATTGATGTTTACAGATGTTTGTAGATGTTTTTTCCAGCAAGGGAGAAACGGACTAACTGAATCTATAAAGGAGCACTGAAACTAACTGTACACAAAATGTTGTCAAATGTACAAGGGACCTGTGCTTACTCTATTTAAGTCTCATTTAAGGCAAAACTCTCCTTGACTTCAATGGTGAAGGACTAAGCCCAGTGTAAATAAACTGCAGGTAGGAGAGGATAATATTAGGTGTAGGAGTAGAGCATTGCCTCGGTGGAATGCACTGGCTTGTGTTCAGAGACATGGCTGCCGTTTGCTGGAAAGAATCAGATCTACATAGGTGTATGTACATGCACCACTGCTTTCTGATCGTTGGAATTAGATATAGTCAAGCGTGTGGTGTATTGGACACACACCAGCAATGTTCAATTTATGTCACTCAAAAGAGAAGGGACTTCTGGGGGAAAGCCTTTTCTGCTGCAAAGAGAGTTTTGATGAGGTTTGTGAGTGAAGTCTCCAATTTGACTGTGACCACTGAGGTGGTAAACAAAGTTTGTGAGACGCCTGGAACTGTGTAAACAACTGGTATGAATGTTTTCTTACATTTTTAAAGAATAGTTTGTCTCTTTTTCTTTCTCTGTTTCCTTCCAACTTTTTCCTTGCCTTTTTTTGTTTTTTTTTTGTGCCTTATTCTTGGGTTATAGTTTTGGTTTCTGCTTTGGGGGATTTTTGTTTGTTTAATATTCTTTCACCCCCTCTCTACATCCCCTAAAAGGGACAGTCGACTTGATCTTTTGTTAACATACTCCTTTTAAAATACAGTACTCCAGTTTCTGAAAGACAACCCTTTATTACTTGATATTTTTTTTCTGCTTTTCTGTTGATGTTTACAGATGTTTTAGATGTTTTTCCAGAAAGGCAGAAACTGACTAACTGAATCTATAAAGGAACACTGAAACTAACTATACACAAAATGCTGTCAAATGTAGAAGGGGCCTGTGCTTACTCTCACTGAAGTCAGTGACAAAACTCTCCTTGACTTAAATAGTGCTAGACCAAGCCCAGTGTAAACAAACTGGGGGAAAAGGGGATAATTTTAGGTGTTTCTTGTTACTAAAGTAACAAACACAATTTCAGACAAATATGTAAATTTTCAAATTGACTACATCCATTTAACAAACAAACTAAACTTGTGGCCTGCAGTTTTTCCATCATAAAAACATAGGGTTGCCAACTTTCTAAATGCTGACAGCTGGTCCCCCTCTGCCCCACCCCCTGCCCTGCCTCTTCCCCCTGAAACCCTACCCCTGCTCCACCTCTTCCCTTGAGGCTCCACCATTGCCCTGCCCCTTTCCCCAAGGCCCTGCCCTCTGCTCTGCCTCTTCCCTCAAGGTCCTGCCCCCCACTTGCTCCTCTCTCCCTCGCCCCCTACCAACCTCCTTCCCTTGCTGACATTAGGAAAAGAAATTCATTATGGAGTCAGGTATTTCCTTGAAGCAATCCTTTTATTCACAAGCAATGTGCACAAAGTCCTGTTTCCCAGAACACAGTAGGAATTAAGAAGTAGGAGGCAGTTTCCTTGCTCTCAGTTCCAAACCTCTTTCCAGTCAGCACTTCTGCCCAAAAAGTTCTCCCTATAGGCTTTCTCTCAGGGCCTTGTTAACTGTGTTCCACTTGTTGTCTCTTTGGCTTTCTGCTTCTGCTGCCTTCTCTGCCTTCTTCTGCTTCTGGCTGCTTCTGCCCACAGACAAGCACGCTTCCACCAAACAACAGCCAGCCAGCTGCATTGGCATTCAGTCACCAGTGAAACCCCTCCAACCACATAGCTCAACATCTAATGAGCCTTGCATGTGTTCTGTGGTTTGGTCAGTGGTCCCTCTTGTTTCAGTTATCTTACTCCAAAAAGTAGCTTAACTGCTAACATTATCCCAGATGAAAGGCAGCTATCAGACCCACCAGTGTTAGACAGGTTCCACCCATCCTCTAGCCTAATAATATACAAAGTGTGTCAAATGCACAAAGTACAGAAAGGGAAGTATAGAAAACAAAGAATATTCTTTCCTGTAGTCTTTTGCAGTGCAAGAAACCTGAAGTGTTAATAGTTAAACAATTTTCACAGAAAAATGTGATTTTGGGGGGGCTTATATGAAAAAATTTGGTTGTTTCAATCCATTTTTAAGGAACAAATTTCCTCATCCAAAAGGCCACCAACACTGATTCATATTACTGTAGTGCCTAAAAGGCCCACCATGGACTAGTGTCCCATTGTGCTGGACGCTGTACAAACACAGAACAAAAAGATGCTCTCTGCCTCAAGGAGTTTACAATCTCAGTACAAAACAAGAGAGAGCCTCTGGACTCTCTCGTTCTTCTCCCTAAGATACTTGTGTGTACCTTTTTGAATGGGTGATCTCATCAAAGTCAAGCCACCACAGAACACGTCAAGGTTCGCCCATCACTTATTACGACTGAGCATGCTCACACAACCCTCCCCGGTGTGACTCACCATTTGGCAATAATTATCCAAACCACTCTAACGTTCAGAACAAATACTGTGAAGGCAAGTGAATGAAATCTCACACTGAAGAATGAATTTCATTCTCTTCAACTGTTATCACACACTTGTTTTGAAAGATGGACACATTTGTGGAGGGTTCTTTATTACTTTTGCCTAAGTCACATCCTGTCTTCTTTCCTGATCTTATTCTGACTCAAACCCATTCATTCCTCACAGAGAGTCAAGTGATGAGAGAATTACAGTTGCTCTAGGATGGGTGTGATTATAACTAGCTATGATTTCTGTCCTAGGTCTCCTTGAAAAAGCCTTTATTTTCCCAGAGGAAACAGAGACTAGCTATGTTGTCCTGTCCCCAGATCTGCCCTTTAGTCTTGGAGCATTTACATTTTATATGAAGGTGGCCTCAGAGTTACCAGCCAAATGGGAAACCATTCTTTTCGCCTACCGCACCAAGGACTATGATGAACTTAACGTGTGGCAAGAGTTTAATGGCACTTTCAGCTTGTACCTGAGTGGTCCTTGGGTGCACTTTACTCTCCCAACACTCAACACCTTTGGGAACCATATGTGTGTGTGACCTGGGACTTCAAATCCGGTCTCACAGCCCTTTGAGTAAAAGGTAAAGGAGCCAAAGAAAAGTGTTGAGACCAGGGCATAGGATCCAACCACAGGGCATTGTCATGTTGGGGCAAGATCCAGACACTTTATTGGGCAGCTTTGACAAGGCCCAAAGCTTTGTGGGAGAAATAAGCGACCTTTATATGTGGGACCATGTCTTATCACCTTCCATTATCCATTATAGGCATGGATTATCCATTATCCATTATTCCATTATCCATTATAGGCAGACTAGTCCCATGCTCACACATGCTAATGCCACACTTGTATCTAATGTATTATCTCAAGACACCTTGAGACCAAAGACGCTATGCAGATTTGTGGTGGAAAGTGTCTAACTTGGAGGAAAACCCCGGGAAAGTCAGGTGATGTCAGTATGTATATTTTTACCTCATGAATTTGAACTAAAACTTTGCCTAAGTGCCAAGAATATGATCCATAACTAGTTCTTGTAGCTGTAGTTTGCAGCCAACCTCAGGAGACCCTAGGCCAAACTCAGCACTTAATTTCAATGGAGTTAACCCAGGACTGAATTTGGTCACCTCTCTAAAGCCAGGGGGAAAGTTGTATCCCAGAGGTGGGTCATGTAGTTCCCTGGGGATTGGCACATATCACACACGTCTTCAGCACTCCTTTCCAACATATTCATTACAAAGCACTATTGACAGCAACCTTAAACTGTATTTCTACTCTGATGAGTTACTGTGAAACTGTATGGCCTTCCAGGTTTGTTTCTCAGCCATTTCCAGAGCAAATGTACTCAGTTAACAAGGAAAAGCAGTAACCCCTCTCCCACTACAAATTTCCAAACCTTCAAATTTAACCTGGAATCTGAGAATCAAGCTGGAATCTGAGAATCAAGCTGGGCTCTTCTTGCCCATCGACACCAGTGATAAAGGATCAGCCAGAAAATTAGTCCATTTATAAAAATGTTACAACACCGTAGCGATGCCTCAGTGACAACCTGGGAGACTCCATTGAGATCAACGGAACTTGGCAGTTAAGGAATAGAAGTCTGCAAAATAAACCTGGTTTTAGTCATTAAAGTAACAACTCGCTTCCTAAAGGGGGAAATCACCAGAGTAATTGTCATGTTTATACAGTTACTTCAGGCAGAACTGCATTTGAATGCAGTTGGCAGGATCCCATGACTCCAACCAAGGGTCAAATGTCACACCGCAACCACCAGTAGTAACTAGACTGACAGCCATCTTGTGAGAGGAGGAGAGAATTGGCTTGAGACACAATCCTAGACTGCGGAGGTAAAAATGCTATGTATAAAGTTTACTGCAGTCCCA